GTTTGCATAATCACGAAAAGTTAAACGGACGATGCCAGCCCCTTCATCCAATAAGGATGAAACGGAATGAACAACGTGAGCAACAGCATCAAGAGTGGAAAGCGAATGTTTGTAAGCAAACGGAATAGGGTCATGAGTGACAGATAAAAGGGTCAGCCTGTTAGGAAAGACTCTTTCAAAAACTTTCAATAATGCTGATGTGTAGGCAATCGGTCGATATTTGTAAGATCGCTTTTTGGGAATTGGGGTTATCCGAGCAGCTCTTCAACAATCAGGGATGCTACCCGATGACAAACACAAATTGAACAACTCAGAAACAGGTGAAGCAAGTTGTTCAGCACACAAGACGGCTTACCTCCAGAGTACTGACCCATTCGCTCCATTGCATGTGGGCTACACTACGGAAACACCGATAAACAAAAACTTCTAGTCAACGAATATCTTCCACGCTCAAATTCTGGGTCTTGCAAAGGTAAAGCAGAATTGACCGCACATGGACGCAGTATACGCGGTCTTTCAGTTTCAACTAAACTTCACATCGGCAATAAAGGTGTTTCAGTCCTGTGTGAGCCTTGGAAATGCGGGCGGTTGTCTCTTTTGCTGCGCTACCGTCATGAGTCACTACCTAAATAAGAAAAGCAATCCACTATAAAAAATTCTAGCCATTTCATCTCTATGCGAGACTAGCCAACACTCAGTCATGCAGCATCACTTTACACTTTTTGAAGGTGCAAAGCACATACTCAATGTGGCAACAGCACTAGTCCGTCTATCAAGCGCACTTTGAGCGTTCTCCTTATATTGGAACAGACAGACGATATCATCGGTGTACTCTAAATGGCGCAGCATTCCGCCAACTACGTTTTGGAGAAAACTTAGTGCGTTCTCCGGTCTACGATGAAATTGAACAGGAACGGTGAAAGAGGGAAACTTGGACGAACAGCCTTCTTAGTTCGTTGTAAACCTTCACTTAACCAGAGGTATGTGAGCACAGTGACCTCCATAGGTTAACGTACTTTTGGGACATTCCTTTCTGAAAAAGGAAACTCACTAGAGCTTCGCGGTCAACTGAGTCGAACGCTCCTTTCAGGTCAAAGAACACTACGATTGTTGGTCGATGGTGGGAGTGACGCAGTTCAAGGACCTGATAAAGTAAAAATTGATCAGTACATTTATTTTCAGGTCGGATGTTCGCGGATTTTGGTCTCTCTTAAAGGCATCAGACGTCGAAGTGTGATCGAGGTTAGTGCTTTGGTGACGATCGCGATCAAACTGACTCCGCGGTGGTTTTCACAATCGTTGCTAGATACTTCTTTGATAATGGAAAAAATCCGTGATTCGCTCCGAAATGAAGGAATGCGCTTTTGCGTTCAACTGATATGCAGTAAGTTAGTTATAGAGCATACGAGGCTTTCACCCCCATTTGAGATAGAGTGGCAGGGAGCCCGTCTGGTCCTGATGTCTTTCCTCGCTTCAGAGCTTGATTACATGATCGAACTCTTGCTTCTGTCGGAGGATCGTTCTTGACTGCACACGGGGTTTCAGCTGCAGTCATCTGACTGCCAGCCGAACTGTTAGGCGATTAGACCGTTCTTCCCAATTGTGAATGGCTTATCGCTTTTCATCGAAGACTCTTTCACTACCTGGAGTTTGCCGACCTTCCATACTGCGTAACAGTGAAAACAGTCCCCGATGATTCTCTGACCCAGTTGCCACTTCCATTTCACTGGCTATTATTGCCCACCCATTCTTGAGGCTCTTGGTCAGCCGACGCTTCAGACACTACCTAACCCGGTCTTGATCATACTAGGTCGGAATTCGTTGTTTATTCCATCAGGGACATTGACTCATCAGATATCCAATGCCTCCGTTGGGATTGAAGCTCAGTCCCACAAGCAACATTCGCAGCGGAATGCATTGCTCGCCTAATCTGATCCCACTGCTCATTTAAATCATCACGTTGAAGCGTGTTTAGCTCACGTTTTAGTTCCGACTCATAGCGTGCACGAACGGCTGGAACAGATAGTTCATGGTGAGCTATACGAGTTTGCTGGTTTTGTCCTCGATCAGTCAACCGAAGAGTGAACTCTTTCAAAACTAATGCGTGGTCAGACTCAACGAAGGTGGTCCAACAGGAACTGCGATTTTGCACTGAGCCACGCCAACGGTTACTTACTGCTATGTGGTCGATTTGAGTTACCGTACCAGTTGAACTGGAGCGCCACGTTGCCGTCAGTCGGGAGCTGTGTCGGAAGTTGGTACTGGACAGGAACAGATGATGGTCAATACAGAAATGAAGAAGTCAATCGCCGTTATCTGTTCGTTGGCAGGGCAGAGCACAACTACGGCTTAGGCGAGCTTCTGATCCGCTCAGTTTCCAACCTCTGCGTTGGAGTCACCTGCAAGCACAACTACGTCGGAGCTTCGACTCATCCGAATGAGATCCGTGAGTTAATCGTAGAAAGCGTGCTTTTGAGTATCGGAATGCAATTGGTCGGTGCATATACTGATACGATGAACAAGCACCTGTTGGTGTTGTTTCCCTTCCGGACGTTGATTGAACCCTGGAGACACACTGCCCATTGACGATTCACGAGGATCCTAGGGATGAGATAGGACTCGGTCCTATTGCTGAGTAAGATACCAACCTCGCGCTGAGCTAATCAACGAACTTCGACTTCACTCGATGTTCGAAGTACATACCTCGAGGACAAATCTGGAGTATTCAAATGACTCATAGCAGTTGGATCCTGCATTAGAGTCGCCGATGAGAAGCAAATATCGATCCCTAAGGATTCAACTATACGCGCCATCACGACGAGACTGCACTTTGACGTGGTGTGATGGCTTGCGTGCCTTCATGACCCTATGAGCTACACAGGATGGATTTTCACAGCCGTAGATCCAATCATGCCTGAAGGGTCAACGGGTAGAGGCCAGACGAAGCTCAGTCTCAGAAAGCCAGCTGCTTGGGCACCCCCTGGCTTCTTTCTTCTACCC